GCAACTAAAATGGTGAAGGGTCTGGAAACCAAGCCCTATGAGGAACGGACAGTGCTCATTTACAACTATCCCCACTTCAAAGATCTCTATCTTGAGTGATCTTTCCCATACAGATTCAGCCCTTTGATGGAGAACACATGTCTTTACCTTGAGGCTACTTTTGCCTTATAAAAGAACCCAAATTTCCTTTGTTTCCATGTACTAGTATGGAGTATAGGGCGACCCCATGTCTCTCTGGATTCCTGCTAGTTCTGACTCATGCTGCCTTCTGAGCATTCCCAGCAGCTGAGTCCCAATTCGAGCCATGAGACCACATCTTTAGGAGCAACCAAGTCTTTGGTAATTATCTCCTAGTAAAGCCTTCTGATTTATTCCAACTTTCACTCCTTTATTCCCTAAATCTTGTGTGTGCGCTTGCGTTGATGTGTGGTTTCCTCTTTAATAAAATACAGTTCATAGAAAGAATTCTGCCTCTGTATTCCTCTGTTCCAACACCTTGATATACAGGTGGTAAACGATTCAAAAGGGCTGTTTGTAGCTCAGCCCATTAATTGAGCTAATTAAAATTCCTCTAGAGATTTATAACTACATCTCTAGTGCTGCCAATCTCCAGCTGCCCCACTTCTGTGGCATCTTTCTTCCTAGTACAGTGCTAGCGAACATTTTAGAGACCGAGTTCCCAAACTGCAACCTAAAACCCACTTATTTATCACAAAGTGCCACATCACTCTGGCTTTCTAGTAATAAACTCTGGTGAACTCTGTGCTGGGACAATGGTGCACATGCCCACAGAAAGGGCTCCATGTGCCCCCTCTGGCACACATGCTATAGCAGGGGTAGGCAATCTAAGGTCCGGGGGCTGGATGTGGCCCCTGAGGCCTTTGGACTGGCCCCAGGCTGGTCCTGACGCCGCCGCCCACCATGATATTGATTATTGTTGTTATTACTTGTTCTTGGGGTTTTTTTGGCAAAATCTCCACAGAAGTTTTGCCATGGCTTTTCTGGGGCTGAGAGAGTGTGCATGCATATATATATTTTTAATTTTTTATTTATTTATTTATTTATTTATGGTGCTTCGGCCCCCCAATTGTCTGAGGGATAGCAACCCGGCCCCCGGCTCAAAAAGGTTGCCTACCCCTGTGCTATAGGTTCACCACCACTGTCCTAGTAGTTCCAGTTAAATTGTCAGTGGACCATTTTGCTGTTTATAGGTAACATATTGACTAATGTTTTAGAACTGCAGCATGCATACCGGACCATACCTACATGACATAACATGTTTGGAGGAGGGGGAGACACTAACAAACTGCAGTATTGTTCTTCAGACTGGCAAAATGACTGTCCTTGGCCTGAACTGAAGCAGCAATTATGGGAAGTTTGGCCCAAACCATGCCACATCAAGAGGAGTAAATAACTGAGGAAAGTCTCCAGGCCCTAATCTACCATGGCTAATTACAGAGGCTCAACCCAATGCTGCACGGCCTTGTGGAACAGCTGCTTGCCAAATCTTTGTTATCACTCTTGATGATGTGTGCCACAAGTTGTTTCTGACTTAATATGACCCTTATAATGGGGCTTCTCTTTATTGACCCATTGACCAAGGTCTCCCAGTGGGTTTCCATAGCCAAGCAGGGAATTGAACTCTGATCTCCAGAGCCATAGTCCAAAACTGAAACCACTACACCACACTGGCTCTTCTCAATCTTACTGCTTTACTAACTTCTAGAGATTTGGGTCAAGACACTGGACAACTAGCATTTTTTTTAAAGATCAAGATAATTTCTACATTGCCTCTGCCATTTGCTTCTTCCATATGTAAATTTTGTAGCCTATGATCACAAATCTAAAGTTGTTTGCTTTTCTTTTGTCTAACAGCCAGCATCTGTAGGTACCTACCATTCAGTACCTTTCTAATAGCTGAAGTAGTTAAATGTACTTCAGCTGTCTGTTTTTTGGTTTTTTTTGTCATTTTTAACTTCCCATGCTGCAGCTGGAAGAGATTGGATTTATTGTATATTCTGTTATACAAAATAAAATCTGTACCCCTAAAAAAAAACACATACCAGTTTTTAAATCATAGAAGTTTTAACAACGGATGCTTTCCCCCATATAAGTGTGATTTTTTAACCCATTCCACTATATAGCAAAGCAAAGCAAAGCAAAGCAAAGCAAAGCAAAGCAAAGCAAAGCAAAGCAAAGCAAAGCAAAGCAAAGCAAAGCAAAGCAAAGCAAAGCAAAGCAAAGCAAAGCAAAGCAGCTTCATTTATATACCACTTTCTACTGCACTATGGGGTATCTAAGCGGTTTACAACTGTAAGCTCATTGCCCCCCATCAGTTGGGTACTCATTTTAGCAACCTTGGAAGGATGCAGGCTTGAGTCTATCCTGAGCCCTGGCTAGTATTGAACTCGCAACCTTGTGGTCAATGAGTGAGTGGCTGCAGTACAGGCATTTAACTGCGCCACCAGGGCTTCTTAGTCAATATAGTCAATATACATCCAGAAACTCTTAGGAAGTCCTAAAACTTTTCCCAGGAGAAGCTTTGGTGGGAACTAGGAAGTGCCACCTTTGAGTCATACACTTCTACCTTGTTCAGCAATGTAAATACAGGTGAGGAGATTCCTGGAAAAATATAATGATTGGCATAGCATAATCTATCTGGAAATTGTTAAAGGCAATAACTAGCACTATGATGATGATGATGATGATGATGATGATGATGATGATGATGATGGAAGCAATCTAGATGTTTAACAGAAGTGATTATGAAGCCTTTTCATGAAATAGTTTGAGTAGTAATTTTCCTATACAAGGCCACAGGGAAGCTGTCAGAGGAATTTCAAAAAAATGCTAACAAACAAAGGCATTAAACTTTGTCATCTCGTCTCTACTGCCAGTTGAAGGGCACGGTCCAGGAAGAG